TCATTTGTTAATTTGATGGCCTGAGGACATCTCTGTTTGCAACCCCTGAATGTAGGATATCAAATTTTAAGGTCAAAATGGTCAGTTGGTATTAAAAGGTTAAGTTATGGGGCCTCAAGTGAGTCTTTATTGATTTGCCTGTCGTCAGAGAACTACACTGTCCCCACCTGGACTGCATTTGTCTTGTTCACAATTGTATCCAGGGCCTAGCACTGTGCTCGACACCAAACGGGTTCTCAGAAATATTTACTATTTGAATGAATGATGGAACCTTTTCTCCATCCCCATTATGCTACTTTATCTTTCAACTTCCCTGATTCCCCTGCTTCCAATTTTACTTCCATCCAATGTATACCATTTTCACTCCACTGATTAAAAAAAAAAAAAACCTTCATGGACTCATCTTGCCAAAGGGCTCAAAATTCCTCAGTTTGACACCTAATGCCATTGATGATCAGGACCCTACCTGCCTTTTCCAGACTTACCTTCCTTCACTCAATTTCACATTGTTCCTTCTTGCAACAACAAATTGCTTCTAATTCTCAGGACACACAATGCTCTATCTAGATCCCAAATGTTTAAATTTCCCTCCCGATGGTAATCCTAGGAGACTATGGGGGATGTTGCTTTATCAGCCCATGCTCACCCATCTCACCACACTCCCTGGGTTACTCTTGTCTCTGTACTTCATGATACTGCAGTATTTGTGTATCTGTGTAGGGAGGAGAGTAGAGTTTAAAAAGAGAATTTCCCCAAATAGATAACCAGTCATCCTAATTTAATGAATAGTCCATTTTTTTTCCTCCTTAATTTTAAATGTTACCTTTAACATAAAGTAAATGGTTTGATATATGTCAGAGCTATCTCTGAAGTATCACTTTCCATTGATTTGATTTGGGTTTCAAATATCAGATGTTCTAGATTATTATAGTTCTTTTTAGTGTATCTTAATACCTGGTAGGCCAATCTTATGGGAAAAAATAGTATCTTATTGAGCTTTATTTTGCACATCCCCATTGCCATTAAGGTTGAGCATCTTTTCATGTTTCTTGGCCATTCAAGTTTTCTCTTTTAAGGATGTCTGATTCATGCCCTTTACTCATTTGTTGATGATATATATTGAAGCATTGCTTCTTCCAAGTTTTTCAAATTTATGGCGCCACTCATAAGAATGACGTTTTTAATTTAGATGCAGCTAAAATTTCTATCTTTCCCTCTATGGTTTTTAATATTTTGCTAATAAGTTTCTTTCCCTTCTCTCAAAGGTTGTCAAACTCTTTTCCCATATTTTCTTTTTTTTAATAATTTTTTTAAGGATTTTTATTTATTTATTGAGAGAGAATGATAGAGAGAGAGCATGAGAGGGAGGAGGGTCAGAGGGAGAAGCCGACTCCCTGCCGAGCAGGGAGCCTGACGCGGGACTCGATCCCAGGACTCCAGGATCGTGACCTGAGCCGAAGACAGTTGCTCTGAGCCACCCAGGCGCCCTCCCGTATTTTCTTCATTGTCTTCAATGTGTAGGCACTAGTCCATACAAAGGAGAGATAAAGTATAAAGGGTGAGAGATTTGTTTGCCAACCCAGAGGGGATGGCAACATAGGACAAGTGGAGGATGAAGACTTTAGCTACGCATGTCACATGTGAAGAGGGTGAGTTGGAAAAGACAAAATCCTTTTGAGTCTACAGCTGACATCTCCAGTTGACTGTGGGTTCTTAATGGATTGACATAAACTACTCACATCTGACTGAAGCTCTCCTGGTACCTTCATCTGGATTCCTTATGTGTGCATGATAGTCTAATGGTAAGGCCCCTCAGTCATGGCTGTACCACTCTTCCCCCCCATAATCAGGGGTGTGGGGAGGGGAGGCACAGGGCACTTAGTAACTTGCTGGGCTCAGACCACGGTGGTGGAAGATACGAAGTTAAAATCTAGCTTCCTGTAGTCCTTTGACCCTAGCCATTTTGCCTCCTCAACAACTTCTATCCTAACATGAGTTATTTCTCCTGCATCTCACTCCCTGCTAATTTCACACCAGGAGAGAAATACTGAAAAACAATAGAAAAACAATAGCCTAAAATGAGGGAGGCTCTTGAAAACTTTTGGTAAGGTTAGGGTTTGGTGAGAACTGTACTTTGTAGAGAACTGTAGGTCGAATTTGATAAAGGGAGTGCATGTGGGGGGAAGTGGTGGTGATGTAGGAAATGGTTGGGGTCCAGAGCCGAAGGGCAGTAAAGAATTCTTGAGACTTGTTCAGTGAAAAAATGTGGTTTTATTCAAGAACAGGGACAAGACCTGTGGGCAGAAAGAGCTGCATTGGGATCAAGAGGGTGGGCCATTATATACCTTTAAGTTGGGAGGGGGTTAGGGACAGCACAAGCCTCCAAGGTATTTTTGGAAAGCTTTTCAGGACCCTGAGGGGGCTAGCTATTGTTAGGGAAAGGTCATTCATTTATTACTATTTAGTAAAAACTGTCATGAGACCCTTCAGATATATATCAGTGGGTCCTATGCCTGGAGGATAATTGTTAACCTGTATCTTGGGGGACAGAGATAAAGAAGTTTCCAAAGGAATTTTTGTATGTTAAAGTAGACTCAACAGGATCCTGAGGTCAGGCCAAGATTTGCTCTTAGCAAAGTATCAAGATGGAGGCAGCTGAGTTCCTAGAGGAATGTCACTCTGCCTATTTCAAGGACTTGTCAATGGGTTATAAGTAGTGAGGAAATTTAATAATTTTTCTTCTGCCTTTGTTTCCCACATCAGTAGAACACAGGAAGGAATGGCCCAAGGAGGGCAGAAATTAAGCCATGGTTTGATCCAAAAGGATGAGAAGTAATGTTAATCAACAGAACTCTTGGTAGCTGACTAGATATGAAGGCAACCAAAGAGAGGGAGTCTGGGTCCCTCAAAGAAGGAAATCGATGTTAACATAATCAGGGGAGACTCGGTGTGAGGACTGACTCTGCGGATAAAAGTGGTTTTGTCTTTGAAGGGTGGGTGTGACACCTCGTAAAGATGACCAGCAGGAAAGTGGAGGGAGGTTAAGGCTGGAGACATTGTTTTAGTCGTCCAGATGGAGGCAAAAATTGAATCTCAAAGGTACTACAAATACAGAGAGAAGATCATAGGAAAAACCTGTATGTAGGGGACAAAAAGTAAAAGGAAAGCTGAGAAGGCAGAGGTATTCAGAGAGAGAGGAGAACCAATTAAGTTGGTGTGATGGGAAGAAATTAGGACTAAAAAAAACTGTTAAGGACTGGTAACCCAAACACTGACAGGCACTGTGGTTTATCTGGGAAATGGACAGTGTCACCTATTCTGGAATTAATTCTTTAAAACACAGCCCAGGGATGCCTGAGTGGCTCAGTCAGTTAAGCGCCTGCCTTCAGCTCAGGTCATGATCCCAGGTTCCGGGGATAGACAGAGTCCCTGCATCATGCTCCCTGATCAGTGGGGAGCCTTCTTCTCCCTCTGCCTGCCGCTCCCCCTGCTTGTGCTCTCTGACAAATAAATAAAATTGTTAGAAAGAAAGAAGGAAAAAAGAAAGAAAGAAAGAAAGAAAAAGAAAGAAAGAA